GTGGCGGGGCGGCTCGCCCCCCGCGCCGCCCCCGCCACACCGTTTTCGGGGAGGGCCGGGCATGTTTGGGGCTCGCGGTGCAGCTTCTGGGCCCTGGCTATTCTCCTGCTCCAACTCTCCTCGCCAGGATGAAATGCCTCCTCCGAAATCCCTGTGCGGCACTGCCTGGACCAAATCGGATGGGGACGGTTTGTGTAAGGCGAGCAGCAGCTGGCGTCCAGGGTCGCTGTCCCTGCCCTTCTTCGCCTCCTTTCGCTGTATGCGGGAAGGGTGGAGGGAGCAGAAAATAACCTGTCATCCCTGAAAGGGATTTCCTTCGGCAGCAGTATGCGCTGCGTGCGTCCGACGGTGCCTGGCTGCCTCTTTGTTGAGCACTTTTTCACGACCGGAGGCTCTGAACGAGGTGGGGAGAGGCTGTCTGACATCCGTCCGTAAGCGAGGAGCGAGGGAAGATGCTGTTTCCACAGCCATTTCCAATGATCAAAACTTGTTGCAGCTTCCCCAGCGTGCTGCAGAATTTGCAAGCAGCATGTGAGAACAGGGATATTGGTTATTCACCCTCGTTTTCCCTGAGCTTTCAGCTGCTTCCTTGGCATGGTCTAGGGGAGTGGAAGGGATTAATGACAGGGAGGACAACTAATGCTATACCGAAGGATTTTCCGATATTTGCATTATCCTTCCGTTCCGCTCCTCCGCTCCCTTCCCCCTGCATTGCATGATTGCGTTGCAACAGTTGCGCGAACTGAGGGCGATTATATCATGGCTTTTTTAATGGCTGTGCGAGAAGACATTAAGAACGCTTCCTGCCCTGTCATGGACAGAGGCAGGAAGAAACTCAGCCCAGACAATGGTCGCGTTTAAAACTAGCCTTGCAAAGAGGGGGGTGCTGCGCCCTAAGCAGCGAGCCATCGTCCTCTGTCAACGCAAACGTGAAGGCACACGCGATGCTGTAGTAGTTGGTATGCGATTGTAAACTGCCAGGGAGGATTTATCTTTACGAATCATGCTGTCAGCTGGAAATCTTTCTGGAGCAGCCATAAGCAGTTAAGAATGTATAGGCTGGAGCCAGAAGGGACATGCCACTTAATCCACTCTCACTGACTTACGTGAGATTTCCAAGATGCTATGTTTGAGTCACCTGATTTTGTCTTTTTTTATGGCACTTTTGTTTGTTTCTTTCTTCCTTTAATGTCCTTTTCAATTAAATTGCTACCCATGCTGAGGCAGCAAGCAGAATTGCTTTCACGTTGTAATGTAGCAGAACACTGGAATCATTTTGATGTTGAGTTAAAGAGTTAACAAGGCATTGTCTATGTTGTAAAAACCAAGCAACTGCCAGGGACAATATGTGCCTTTTCTGTCTTTTTTGAAACCGGACTGCCTCAGGTCCTGCATTTAAATGCAGAATAAACAAGTCTGATCAGATCTGACAGGTTCCTGTAAAATGGTCTGGAGGCGTAGCAGCAAAAGTATGAATGTCACACAATTTTGTTACATATCTGCCATTTAACATTTCGTAAAGTGTATTTTAATTGAAGGTCCACTGTTCTTCCCTTAGTTTCCGACTCAGTGTTAAGGACAAAAAGAACTGGTTGCTTTGGTAATCACTGGGAGCCTTTGGCCACCATCAGGCACTCTCCTCCTGCAGATAACATCCTCCTAACCTGGTGCCAGGCATAATTTTGGGTTATTCCTGCTAAAGCAGAAGCCAGGAGTGCATTATGTTTTCCACGGTGGTCTGGGGAGCCTGCAATCAGTTCCTGAACCTTACATCTCTGCTATGTAAGAAATAAGACCTCCATACATAGCAGATCTGCTTACGACATGCATGGACACTGTAAATGTTTAGTCCTTTCTATTCTTGTTAGTGCTGCAAAAAGCAGCAGAGCTTCTATTGGACCATCCACAGAACAACATGCCAGTTGTCCCATCGTTGTTACTAAAGCAGACCTTCTGAAGACCGGGAGATACTTTGATGGTGTTGAAGGCATAACAGAAGTATCGCCGATGTCTGGCGTGGCTGGCAGAATATTTGGCTGCCAGAAGCACTTTGCTTCTGGGGGTCATGCATGAGAAGGAAAGTGCTCACCCTAATTCTCAGGTTTCAGCTTCCATTTATAAACCAGGTTGCTGGAAAAGGCAGGTCTTTTTTGAAGGTGCTTGGAGCAATAAATCTGGAACTCCAGCCTGACTGGAGTTGTTTTCCGAATAGGACAACCCTTTAAAATCTGATCTTTCTAGCCCTTTATAGAAGGACTTCATGCTGCTGTTCACTGGAAGCCGCTAGACACCTACACCTTGGAGTTACATATGCCAAGGCAGTGTGTCAGACGTGGGCGTGGTACGGTTAATGCAGATATTGCTGTCACAGTTGTGGCTGCAGGCTTTGGTCAGTTTGCAGATAGTGGAAGCATAAGTCAGTGGAAACAGGACCTCAGCAGACCGGATGCCACAGTCTTGATGTGCTTGTTAATCTTAAAGTCATGGCCAATGGTTGGAGGCTGCCATTTGGCAACATCATGATGAGGAGGTTGAGGTGAGATTGTTTTCAGCATTCGTATGAGTTTTTCCCTTCCTTTAACTCAAGATGTGGCCTTTTCTCTAGAATGACAGACGTTGATTATTGTGTCCTTTCCTAATGCTGAGCAAAAGATTGTGATTGTCTGGTAGCAATCTGCTTATGACGTGGCCAGATAAACTCCAGGAGGCTTTTGCTCTCCACCCTTTCTGAAATGCAGTTTGTGATAACTATCGCGCAAGGTGTGTATGGCTGTTTGAAGTGGACCTGAGTGGAAAAACGCTGGCCATACCTAATCTCCTAGATTCTGAGATGAAAAAGAGCAACCAGTGAATTCCCTTTGCGTCAGTGCCTCTGTGTACTGTTTCATCACTGCTACCACGGCAGTCTGGCTTGAACTGCTCCAGTCAAAGGGGCCTCTATTATTTCTCAAGGCATGTATCCCCAGCTCAGCCCATCTCACTGTCCCATGGTTCTTCCAAGATACTTTATTCAATATCCCCTCTTGATTCTCCTTTTTAATCCTGGTGTAGCTCCTTAAGCTATCCTCCTCATCTAGTGTAACAACTTCCAAATCTCTGTACCTGTGGCATTCGTTTCTTAGCTATTGCCCAGCCTTGCTAGATATGTTTAACCCTTCCTACTGTGATTTGTAGGCTGTGTGCCCTTTTAGGGCTGCTGTTTAGTTCCCAGATTTGCTGGTCCAGGATGTTTGAAAAGCAATTTTTGCTAGCCCTTGCCTCAGAGGTGAGGGCATGGGACCTGAATGCCGTTTCCTGGGCTCTTCAGGCTAGTTGCTCTCAATCCTCACTTGTCTCCGTGTCCTCAGCTGCAGGAAGGCTTAGCCATTTCTGTGGACAGCAGCTCAGTAGTACATTGTAAAAGCTAAGAAGTATTACTGTCTCCTTTTTTAAAATCCTTTCCTCCAGCCACCTCGTCAGTTTTACTGCTCTTCCCTGAACATCCTCTTGCTTGGGAAGATAGCTTTCCGTGGTGAGTGCCAGCTAGCAGGATTTCTTCTTGTAAGTTTTCTCATCAGTAAATGCATCTATGATATTTATGCAAAAGAATGCATGTGCTATTTTACAGCGACGGCCACCATTAGTTGGAGATCCCCTTTTCAGCAGTGGCCGATTACTAATGGGTTATTTTTTATTATTGATATTACAGTGGCATCTGGAGTGTCCCATCGACATGTGAGTCATGTGCCGGCATGCTGGCATAGTCTATGCCTAAAGAGCATACGATATTTACTGCTCTTTTATACAGGTAACCTTTACTCATGTGGGTTGGTGATTTCTGTGGGACAAGTCTGGGCTGATAGCTCCAAAGTACCGTGTGAAACAGGCTGGTAGTACCTTGGCAGGACAGTTCTTAGTCTCTTCTTCTGCCTAGGAAACCTCAAGTCAGAGTCAGCAATCGTTTGCTGAAGGTTGTGACTCTTCCCTTCTGGCATCAAGCCTCCAGAAAACACAACTCGTGAAGCAAATTACCAAGGAGGCAGGGGCGTTGCTCCTTTTCCTGGTGCACGAGGGTTGACAGTCATGGTTATATAATCTTTACTTGCATTTTAGCAGTTGCTATTCCAAGCGTTATATGTCCCACTGATGTGCGAATATGTCAGACTTTTTTACTCCTTCCACTGGTATTTTGCGAGCGTCTGAAATAAATGCAGAAAATGGTAATCTGGCCGGTGTAGGCATTTCAATAATTGTACACTGTTGACAGGAAAGAATATCCTGCTGCCAGCTCCATTTCGTGTACTTGCTAGATAAAACTGTGTTGGGAGTAAAAGGACGTTAGGGGCTGATGAACATGGGGATTAGAAGCGCAGGTGCAAGCGGTGCCCCTGGGCAGGGGTGCCAGTGTTGGTGCTGTGTCCTCTGCTGTGTGGAGATCCGTCATCATCTCACAGGAAAAATAAATAACTTCAGCTGCTATTACTGTCATAACTGGTTCTTCTTTGAAGTCTCATTTCATTTTCTTTCGGTCTTACAGAGTCAGGAGGTTCATTTAGCTGCTGGCCTCCATCACTTACGGCTTTGAAGGTTGCCTCCTGCTTCCTGCCCTTCTGCTTTCGCTCTCTCCTGGACTGTGCGTGTTTCCCTCTGTCAGTGCATCCAAGTTGTAGGTGTAAGCTTTTTTCTTCCTAAGGTTTTCAGGTTTATATGACCTTCTCCCTTGCACTAGATTTTTTCTCAAGCTACTGAACTTTGATTTATTGCACTTAACTGCCTATAATTGCCCAGTTCTCCAAACACAGTAATTTACTAAGCTTACTTCTCATTTCTCATATTGCTTTTTGTAAGGCCCTGAAGCCTGTTGATGAAGCAGGTAATGGTGCAGTTTGTCAGAAATTTCCCAGGAAGGCATTTGCTGCTTTGCCAACAGGTGATGCTGTGTATTTTGCCCCAGAGCAAGAAAGGCTGCTTTTGAAAACTAATAGGAAGCAAAACAGCAATTTGGGGGATTGAGCTGAAAATGTTTGTCCAAGGCTCAGTAGCAGTCAAAAAAGCAAATGAAATTTAGAAGTTAGAAGGAAGCAAAGCAGAAGAAAATAGAGGCTGTGACTACGTTGTTGTATGAATGTGAACATTGTGTGTAGTTGTGATTTTTCCCCTACCCCCATATCAAAAAGGATATAGAGAACTGGAAAAGGTTCAGAGGTGGGCCACAAGGATGATCAAAGGCCTGGAATAATTTCATATAGAGAAAGATTGAATAAGCTAGGACTCTTACCTTTGGACAAAGAGACAACTGGGGTGGGAAATGATAGAGATCTACAAAATCCTGACTGGCATGCAGAGAAGGGGCGGAGCTCCACTGTTCACTGTCTCTTCTAATACAAGAACTAGGAGGACATCAAATGAAGTTAGTGGATTCCT